CTGCGGGAAACCAACAGGTTAACATATTTTGTAAAAAAGAGACACGCTTAAAAATGTTTCAACAGATGTTGAAATACATTCTACAAGAACATTTGATTAAAATGGTCAAATTTTGTGCAACCCTCGATAAAAGTCCGTAAACTGCGAGTTAGTTAACTTTATGATGCGAAGCGTCGACGTGCTGGAGGGTGTTAGGGCCACCTAACCTTGTCAGTCCTGACAACAAGAAAAGGAAAAGAGGAGCAGGAGGAGGGAGTATACAAACTGTGGCTTCTTTCACTTGTCTAATGACTTTCTCTGGCATGTATTGATCACCCTTTGTAACCCCTGCAGCCCCCGGAGACTCCAAGAACGGGTTTCATGTTACCCGCTTTCACAGAGAATGAAGGAGGACGGAGGCAGCGGCGAAGAAGGAAGAGGAGGAGCGGAAGAATAGAAGAGGTGCTTATTGTGGAGCAAAACATGAGGCGGAAACCAGAAAGAAGTCCTTGTGTTGGTTTAGAGATAAATAAATATAAAAAAAAATAGTCTGTTGCTCTCAACAACAAAAAACAATTCTTAAAGTGAGACTGCATGTTTATGATGCAGAAACTTCTAGATTTGTGTGGGATGGACATAGTGGGGAGTCTGGGGTCAGCTGAAACCCTCTCGCTCACCCTCTCCACCAGGTCGGGTTCTGATTTCTCTCCTGTGTTGCATATGATACTGAGAGCCAGCATGAATCCTCCGGGGGGAACTGGCCTGGGACAGATCAACTCCTCTAATTACAAGAACCAATCAGCCTGGTTTGAATTCAGCGCTGACCTCTCGCCTCGCTCCTAATCACAGTCAAATGTCTTCTGAAGGAAGTCGAGGTGTGACGTGAAAGGACCAACGAGCCGGCTGACGTTTTTAGATGCGCAAAGTTGGTGAACTTCTCTAATAAACTTTTTGTGTTTGTATAAACGTGTTGTTTTTTGCTGCTTGTAAAGTGTGAAAGGCCACATTCTTGCTGGTTCTCTAAGTTTGTGCAGAAGAAGGTGTATTTTTGTGGGTGGGGGTTCGGGTGCCAAGTTTAGTGGGTGAATTTGTTAAGCGTCTGGATCTAGGTGTGAAAGTGTGACTTATATGAGAGCGGCAACACTTTTGGGTGAATGCACGCATTCATGGTTGAAGTAGGAACAATGCTCCGCCGCTCATGGACCAAAGTGTGAGTTGAGCCTCCTCCCTGGATGCACCGTCATTAGAACAATGCCTGTCGGTGCTTTGTCCTGCAATTAAAACAGTCTCGCTCCAGAAACTTGACATACGAACCACAACTTGCTCATGCAAACACAATTAGCACCTGTGAGCAAATGAAAACCGAATATTCCGTGCAGATCACTTCCTGTTCTGTACTTCTCATAATGCTCACAGAAGCTGTGATAACATTCAGTAGAAGAGCCATTTCATTCCTCACACAGCCAACTACTGTCTGTTCTGCTCCCGGTTTACAACGTTGAAAACGTGGCTTGATCGAGTCCAGGCCTTAACTTTATGTGTGCAAACAGTCACTAAAAACTAAGCAGGCAGCCCCTCTCAGCACAGACTCACTCACCTACCCCTCAGCCTAATATCCTCTCTGCAGCTGGTGGAGTCAGAGTGCACTTGTCATGGGGCTTGTGGGGAGCTGCAGTGGGTATTATACATGTTTTATTAACGTATGTAAAGCTAAGCTCCAGATGGAAACAATGTGCTGTTATTCCTATTTTTTTTCTCAAAACAACAAGTTTTTTTTAAGCAGTCATGCCTACAAACTCCATTTTGCTTCCACCACTCAGCCCTTCTCTAATGCACACATACAATGGTCTGATCGTGGACTTAATGAGCAGCAGACGAGTGCGCTGTGCGTTTTGTGGAAGAACATATGTGTTTGTGTGTGTGTGCGTTATCCGGGAGGCCTGCTAACACCCTGTCTCGGGGTGGAAGCCTGATTTATAAGGCTTTAAATGAGGGGCAACAGAGAAGGGGAGCCAGAACAAGCTTGCAGCTGATTGTTTGTTTATTTACCTTTACCTTTCGTTTTCATCCACCCCACCTCCCGCCATCTACTCATGTCACACAGAAAGAGGAGGAGGAGGACCCCGGCTGGTATTCATCAACTCCCCGTGTAAAGGAGTTTCAACTAAACAAAAGTAAACTTAGCTACTCAAAGTTTTCCGCTTAAACTCCTCACAGGAGTTGTCTATTTATTTGATCGTGCGTCTCCGTAACAATTTACAGAACACTTTTATGCGTTATGCACTTCGGCTGAATTTAAATCACAACTTCTTGTAGATATGGCATCTGTTCTTTTCAGTTTTTTTTCCAAGACGTGACAGAAAATCTTTAAAAATGGAGGTGCAAGAGACAACAAAGGCCATGCAAAGTTTTATTCGAACAAGTTGTATGTGAAGGAAATAAAGGCTAACAAAGAATGTTTTTGTCTAAAGTGTACATTTGCAATGACAGCAGTCCCTCGTTAATCGCAGAGGATCCATACTCTGAAGCCCCGCGATAAGTAGGAATAGCAGTACAAGTAGTAAGTAGTAGTTTATTTTATTTATATATATTAAGGTGTTTTAAACCCTTCCCACACTCTTACAATATTCTCAACAATGTTTCTAAACACAAATGCTTAAAAATAGCACAGGATATCATGATTTCAGCTCCCTGCCTCGGCTGCTCTCTGCCATCTAGTGCACTTGGCCACACCCACTTCTCCGCTGCAGAGTGGAGATCAGCTGATCAGCTGCTAGGAAGCTTTTTCTGCAGCTTGGGCTGCACACTAATGCTAAATAATTTAAAATAATTTATTTTAAAGATTGTGTGACTCATTCATCAATCAACCAATTGTGTGTCATGTCCAATCTTATTTTGAAAAACCGCAATAGAGCGAGTCCGCGAAAAACGAACTGCAAAGTAGCGAGGGACTGTATTTATGACTGTTTAACGACTGATTTCTTGGTTCAACACCGATCAAACAAACTTGCTTGTTGTAGGTGAACTATTAGTAAATTTTCAGCGGATTTATGTTTTACTCAACTTAAAGTGCTTTTTTTTTAACCATTACACTTTGATCAACTTTCATTATTATGTTTGATTTCACCATCTCAAAAGCAAAAATTCAACGAAGAAGAAGTCAGTTGTTTCCTTTTGTATTCTTTCAACGATCATGTTACCAGTTTACAACCCCACAAAAAAACATTAGAAACATTTCCATTTCAGAGCTTCATCTATAGTTTGACTTGATTAAACACTATCAAAAAATGACTCACTTGACATTCCACACACTCATAGACATGCAACACACACACATACACACACACACACACACACACACACACACACCTGCACACAGACACAATGAGATTTCACTGAAAGAGGAGCGGCTCTAAGTGGACAGGATGCAGAGCAAACTCCACAGGAAGCCCTGATAAGAGCACGACACTTATATCGCCCCTCAAAACACAAAGGGGAACCTTTGACAGCTAGGAACCTTTAATGGCTGTCTCGGCATGCCCTCTCCTCCGCCAGTTAGATCTGACGGATGTCTGTGGAGCGCCGGGCTGAATTAGTAGGGGAAAGTTGCTTGTACGGGTAGACATTGGTGACAAGGTACACATTATTATTTTTTTTTCTTTGACGGAGGGCAGAAAATGGAAATGGCAGCTCAGAGCGTGGTGGTGATTGTGATTTTGATGTGAGATGAAGATAGAAGCCGACTTATAGCATGTGAGACATAACTGCTCTGTTATTGTGCGTCTCCGAGGGAATATTTTTATACAGCGTGATCACGGCGCTTTGTTGAATGGCCTCGGTTTTCAACATGCAAACACATCCTAGTTTGCATTTATTTGTATACGTGTGGGGCAAAGAGCAAAACAGGTTGTGTCGATTTGAAACGAAACGACAAAGAGAAACATGGCGGGGGGGGGGGCGATGCTCATACAGGCAGAGAGATTTTTAAATGGTTTTAGGTTTTAAAGAGATTGTCACTCTCCTCTATTCCATTTATTCTGGGGGAATTTCAGCTGAAGATTTTGATTGTTTTCAGGCTGAAACAGAAAACAGCAGAATGATTCGTTTCTATTATTGTCTTTAATCTGCATCAGGTCAAACACATACTGCATGTTAAATTGTACAGTTAATTAAAGCAGAACTACAGACAATACTGTGAAACTTTAGGATCCAGGATGGTATGCACTTCCTTCTAAATGAGGCAGGGGGCAGCCTGGCATGAAAGCCCCACAAGTTGGGAGCAGGAGTGGAAATGAAACTTCCCATGCTCTCCAGCTTTAAACACAAGCTGTAAATATACTTGAACACAAGGACGGGATGGCTGAGAATTGCACACAAACTCTCTGTTTGCGGTGACAAGTAAGACAGTCGTGGAAACGGTGACAGTGACAGACTGAGTGGCTGTGAAGTGGACTGCAGAGCTGGTTGTTGGAAGTGTTACAAATTAAGGTGCAATACGACCAAAAGGGAATAAAGAGGTTTGTGTTAGAGTGTGTATCCCTTTTCTGGAAACAAGTCTGTTTCCAGTTGTGAGGCCCCTTAACATGCAACACACATCCATACACACTCTAACAGGCAGACTAATAAAGAAGCTGATAGAGTACAGATCACGAAAGCCTCCAGTGTTTCTATGTGCTCAATCATATGTGTGTGTGTGAGAGTGTGTGATGGATGGGGTCCTGCAGAGAAGACCCTAGCCCTGCCATATCACTCAACAGCCTAAATGAGTGTGTCTGCTCTCGTGTGTGCGTGGAGGTGAGGGGTGGACAGGCTCACAAGGAGTCCCCCCCATTAAACTTTGTCTGGAAGGAAAAAGGCAGAATAAATGAGATTATTCAGATTTCATCAAGTTCATTGAACTTCAGTTCTGATTAAGGAAGATGTGGGAAAGATGTGACCATTATGATGGAAATGAGAATAAAATGAAAACCGAGTGCATAAACGGATGAAAATATGTTTGAGTTTGTAAAATATTGTTGGTA